TTGTCAGTAACGACTCAGATCTTTCTCTGGAGCTGCAGGTGCCAATTGCAATTTTGGCATGGTGTAGGCTTAGTCTTTTTCCTCAGTTGCATTACTTCACTTTTTTCTGCACTAAAGTCCATATGCCCACATACTCACTTTTGTGAGGTCTTTCCATGAACCGCTTCACCAATAGTCCAGCGTTATTGTCAGCAAACTTGGAGATCTGACTGCATACCCCCTTCTCTAGTTCACCAGGATGCTGAGTCCTAGCATCTATCCCTGTGGCTCACTCTTCTCCATTCTTAAAAATTATTTCCATCTTCGTTTTGACATACTTTTGGTTCGTGAAAGAACCTTTCCTCCAATTCTGAGTCAAGTTCATTTCTTCAGTAACCTCTGGTTAAAAGTTTTTTGTAACTCCAGCTGTGTCGTAGTCACTAGATTGATGTTATCTGTGCACTCACTGACACCCTCCTAGAACTCCAGCAGGTGAGAGAGGCAGGATTTCTCATTGTAAATGACATGCTAAATCTTTTCCATGCTGATCTAATCTATCCAGCACTTCACTGCTCTGAATTTACTCTGTAGATTAGTGGAACTTCAAGAACAAGCAGGAAGAAGACTGTAGCGCTAAAGAAAACTTTGGTACATTTGAAATATAATATGTAAAATTGTCACCTTGCAGATTCCCACACCTTGAAAAGGTGTAAAGCCCTGTTTTGCCAGGGCTGAGGACTTAAGAGGTCATTGGGTTATAAGAAATTAAGTGCCATATGGATAAAAGGGAAAAGAAGTAATGGGAGCCTTGAGCAACCTGGTCTAGTGAAACGCGTCCCTGCCCATGGCAGGAGGGTTGGAACTGGATGACCCTGAAGGGTCCTTTCCAACCCAAACCATTCCATGATTTGATGTAAGCTTGATGGCCTTTTTTCTTGAGGTCAAGTGTTGTGTGTGTGTGTGCTATACCTGAACTGCTGCTTGGGAAATTAGTAACTAGGGCTGGTCTGAGAACACCAAGTGCCTGACTCCATTTCAAGCCAGGTGACAGCCAGGGTGTAGGAAAGGTTGCCCTTGAGATGCAGGTCAGAGATACAGTTAGCTCACGAACTGTGACAGAAACAGTGCTAAGAAAATCCACCTAAACCTGGGATAATTAAACATTTCCTAATCATTTTAGTTGTGTTTCCAGTTGACAGCTCCTTGCATAGACTGGGCTGAAGGTCAAAATTTAAAAAAAAAAAAAAAAAGGAAAAATATGTCTCTGGACAGGCTGCAAATAACTTTATCTTCATCCTGCATCTTACTTTATCATGTTAATACACACAGAGATTCAGGCTTACATGGTTCTCAAAGTGACTTTGCTTACTCCTACTCATTTGTCTGCCAAGCAAGCATTTGACTCAAAGTGACAGCTCAAAAACTCTGCCCTCTATTACTTTTTCATGTTGAGAAACAATTGCTTTGTCAGCAAGAGAAAAGCCACTCCAACATTTGATTTACAGTATATACCAATGGTCAAGCTACCCGGTCAGAAGACTGATAAACTTGTTAAACTGCTGAAACCCATTGGCGGTTTTCTCTAGGTCTAGACTTAGTTTCTGCCCCTCTTGCTTTGTGGAAGCTCACATAATACACCACTAAAGAGTTTCTTTGTAAACTGTTAAGATAGGTCAGGAAAGTTTGGCATTTTCAGCCACTCTTTCTATACACAGTAAGCCTGGTTGTTGATACAGCAAATAGATGTGAAAGTGCTTGATAAGGCAACTCAATAGAGCTGTGTATTTTGATACATAAGACCACCACTCTACCATTTTCCCACTTAGTGCTGTGATTTCCATTTTGCCCCCCCTTCACAGCCTTTCCCTTTCATGGAGAGTTTGGTCCATCCGCTGCTTGCATATTGCCCAGCCTTCACCACAACACTTTAACCTAAAGAAGTATGAAGAAACAGAGAGGAACAAAGACTTTTGTTCTCATTCTGGCATTTAATACCTGTTGTAAGGAACTCAGCATCAGAAGATAAAGCAGTAACTTTTTTTTTCTTTAATTACTAAAATGTGTTGGTGAGGACAAATGCACTTGAACTCGCACAAGCAGTGATACATGGCAAGAAGACCTAGACATGAAGATACCATGAAGCCGAAAAAAATGAAAGTGCTGGGTTTGGGAGCCAGCACACATTTCTAAGTGTTCAGTCATATGATCCTCTCATGCTGCATCCAAACCATTAATGATGCCACAAGAAAGACTGAATGCATTTCCCCAGCCAGAGCATAAACCACATGAAGACATTAAATAAATAAAGGTTCTATAGGTTTGGGATTTTGCTTGAAGGTATCACAAGCACAACCCTTCCTTTCAAGTTTTGGACAAAGCAGTATTTGGGGAGTGGTCTCAGCCGGTTCCGTGAAGTGTTACAATGCCAGCACAAATCTGGCTTCAGGAATATTCTGGAGCGAACCATACTTCAGTCCGGGAAATACTTTGACAAGTATTCCCTCCTCTCTCTCCTTCAAGTGGCTGTTATAGAACGAGGCCAACTCAACACATAAATCAGTCAATTGGCAACAAGTCTGGCACTGCTGTCTTTTGGAGAGATGAGAGCACGTATGTGCCTTCAACAGCCTCCACCCACACAGCCTCTGAGTCACGATTTGCAGCACAGGGCAGTCAGGGCTGCTTGCAGCCCCAAACCCAGAGCTGACCAAGCTCAGAGACAGGCAGGAAGAGTGTGCAACCACTGCCAACATCACTGTCTCCCAGCCACTGACTTCCTCACTCTCCCCAGTCATCTCCTCCTAAAGCTTCTTTTTTCCTTTATTATTTTCCTGTTTGGTTCCTGGCAGAAAGAAGAGGGGAAGAAAAGCATGCTAGCTAATTCCTGCACTCCTTCCAGGACAAACTGAAAATCTTGAGCACTGCATGTTCAGCAGCCCTTTTGTAGGCACCCTATAACCATAGGACGTGTCAACTCCTTGGATACTTACTTGGTATATTACTTGGTATAATAAGAAATAGCAATTTGGCACACATTATTTGAAAGGATAGGCAGCAATAACTATGTATGGAAGTCCAACACAATGAAGATACCATAATAAATAAATATCAGACAATTGACCATTTTTCAAAATGAGTTTCATATGCCTGTTTCATAATCAAATAAATAAATAGGCCATGGTGCAGAAAATAATTGGACTCATCATCAAGCCCAAGGTTTCAGAAGTGGCAAAAACTATCCTCCTGCACTAACAAAAAAAAAAAAAAAAAAAAAAAAGCTAAAATAGCAGACTTCAATCTACCAAAATTCTCTTTACATAAATAAATTACATCCATCAACATTAAATTTAACCCAAACTATTTGAGTTTTCAGGATGGGAAGTTCCATTCTGTTGAAAGATAAACACGTATTTAGACTTCTCAGTTTCTTAGTTGCTCTTCTTTTCAGACAGTAACACCTTCACTACTAAAACTAATGAGCAATAACCACTGAAAAAGTCTACAGAGGACAGAGAGAATAGAGCTTGAAGGAAAGGGAGGGAAGCCTGACAAAACCAGGTGATTAGCAGAGGTATTACAGCTTAGGCCATGCTGTTTCCTTATGTAGCTTCACTCTGTTTATACGTTGCATCCCTTTTAATTCTTTTGTTGAAGTATGAAGAAGGGGGAGCTCATTACTGAAAATGATAAATGCCTTTGTTCACCCACCTGGGAATCAAAGATATGTTGTTACTTCTTTTTACTGTATTTTTCCCAATTTCCTGTGGCTGCACTACAATACACAGACTAGCAACCTTGCTACTGATAAGCCAAATCCACTATTTCTGGAAAAGTAAGAAACGCTGATATACAAGAAAGCCCAGAGAAGGCTGCAATTAATATACTGAAATGAGGATATGTTCCATCCAATTAACTCCTCCAGTGAACACGCAAATATAGGTTAAATAATCTGAAGTCTGGGAATTGTTTGGGGATTTCTGCATCTTCTGAGCTGTAAGGCTGCTGCCCACAACGGTCTCACTAAATTGAACTTGAGTTGGTCTTGAACTGCATAAGCAAGATCATACATTGCTGGATGTCCAGCTTGACTTGTATGAATTATAGCCTACGCTGTGAAGTTAGAATATAACAACAGACAGGTTAAAATAAATTTGACCAATTTTTACTTTTTGATTCCCACAACCACCAGGTTCACATATTTGTAATTACATTCACTCAACCTTCTCTTTAAATGTAAAAGGCAACTATTCTCCACCCATTCCATATCCCCGAAGTATTTTGAGTCTTTTCTTAAGAAAGGTTTGCCCTCCTCCCCCTTTTGTTAGAACACATGACAGCCCGCCCTTCATATACTGTAGCAGGTGCTGAAGAAAAATGTGTTTCTATTAAGTCAGGAATGTCACTACTTGGATCAGGAGACAGCAGGCAGACCTTCATCATTTTTGCAGAAGTTCTCTCCAGGGAATACCATCAGCACGTTTTATTTCCACACTATCAACTCACTCTTATCACAGACCATCATTCTCCCAAGACAGCCCTTTGAGTAATACCTCAGACTCGAGAACAGCTGAGTTGAGAAAACATGAAATTAAAAAGTGCTAAATATGAGTTAAGAAAAAAAAGAAAAAAGAAAGAAAACTGCACCATTGTTTCATCAATGCTAATTCTACTACAGATCCAGGAACTGGAAGCCATATTTTTACATAAATTCCTGAGGAACTGTATATTCAGAGAGAAAAATACAGTGAAAAAAAAGTAAACACCGTACCGAAATCAGCAATAGAAGATAGTTACCAAAGCTGAAGTACAGGCAGGTTCTCTGACACTGGAAGAAATGGTAATTCACCTCTGTGCCCACAAACAAGATTTAATTCCCACCACACCTACATGCCATCACATTCTCATTCTTTTGTCAGAAAACAGTGAAAGCAAAACCACATTCTTTCCCTTCTCTAATTCATACTTCATCACTTCTTTTAAACCAAGTTAACATTGTAAAGACAAAATTAAACAGAACCAAATTAAGGATATTAAAGGATTTATTTTAAGAACATTGATAAAAATAACATGAATATATTTTATACTGTACAATACCGGATAATACACAGAGAGGTTATCTAAACCATACAAGATCCTTGCTTCTTGTATTACATTGGTAAGCTAGTAAAAACACCCAATGAAACACCTCTAGGAAGAGAGAAAGGAAATAAGTCGTATTATGGAAAAGATTAAAAGGTTAAAAAACAAATACTTTCTTACTATACAGGACTGGCTGAGATGCATTTAGCATTCTTCACAGTATGGCCTGCATGGCGCCATGCTTTGTAGTTGTGGCTAACATGAGTTGCTAACACACTACTTCTTTGGCCTTTGCTGAGCCATGCTTGTATAACATCAAGGTTCTCCCTCTTCTGCCCCCATCAGCAAATAGGCTGGGGCTGTGCAAGAAGCTGGGAGAAGACACAGCTGGGACAGCTGACCCAACCTGACCAAAGGGATTTGCCATGCCACACAACACTATACTCAGCAATAAAAAGGGAAGAGGGTGTTTTGGTGGGAGCTAGTCAGTGCACAGAAACCAGCTGGGCAGAGGTTTGCTTCAGGGAGGTAGTGATCACATCATTTGGTTTTGGCTTTTTTTTTTCCTTCTCCTTTCCCTTCCTTCTCCCCTTTCCTTCACTTACTAAACCATCTTAGTCTTGACATACCATTTTTCTCACCTTTCCTGTTACATTCTCTCCCTCATTCACTTTAAACAAGCAAGTGGCTGGGTGGTGTTAGCTGCTGGCTGGGGTCAACCCACCATGCTTACTCTATTACAAACTGCAGAATCCTGGCAACATTTGGTTTTTATTTTTTTAAACACTAAAGTTATAAAAGAACATGTTCACAGGGTTCAAGTTAGGTGTATATTCATCTAGTCAGTCATCAGTTTCGGTACATTTTACCAAATGTAAATCTTGCCCATTTTACTGTGTAATTTCTTTTTCAAAATTATATAGCCAAAGTATACATTAGCACTTCTGTTACTGCATTTAAATACTCAAACACATATGAGCTCCCCTCACTCAACCCTTACACATTAGTCTTTCCTCTTTTTCCGGGGGGGGGGGGGGGGGGGGGGGGGAAAATAGAACACTTCTCATTCTATAACAACACTTAAGAATGTGCCCGTTGTAATTCCTCCTCAGTACAAACATGAGCTATTTCTGCTGTGTGAAGCTATGCTTCCTTGTTGCCTTTTATTTTTATAAAACATACAGTAAGGAAAAAAAAATCTTTATTTAGGAACACAGGAACAACTGTTTAAGTGGCAGTTAAGACTGAATTCAAATACATGATCATGACTGTAAACCATCTAAATAAGGTAACAAAAGACAGAGGAAGAAAGGTAACGTTTCACACAAATGTCAATATAGGCAGCAAACATTTCAACAAACAAAAGCATTTATAAAAAATCATCCTATATGGGTAAAAGAAATAAGTATTTCATGCAGTCCTCATCCACGCCTAGTTTTAAAACTGGGAGTGGGGGAGGTAAAAGGAGAACAATCTTTGGAAAAATAGATCTCACAGGGCAAATGATAACAAACAAAAAAATCTTCCTGTATTCTGGAGCTATACACTTAATGGAATGTGCTCAGCTTTATTCGTTCTCAAATCTGCTGTATGGATTATCAGAGTCCTGGAGAAGACCTGCAAAACAAGAATAAGATTAATGCATTTATCATTTTCTTACCAGTACTGCTTATAAGGCTCGAGTTACTGAGCCCACTGAAATAGGTACTCTATATAACAAAACTAGAAGACAATTCTTGTCTTGCAATAGATGATCTATCATCACCCAGACACTCAAATGAAATAATAAATTGAAACTGTTCTTAAACACTCTTATTTCTCAGTCTATTATCATGAATAGGTATTTCATGGTTTCTCCCTCCAAAATCATTTCTATGATAAGTTCTTAAGGAGAAAACATTTCTCATTTGTGAGGTATACTCCACAGAACAAGTTTGTGAGAGACAAGTTTACAAAATCTTAGCAGGGATGGCTCAGAAAGAGCAGATTCAGACTGGCCAGTTTATAAATTAAAGCTATTTTAAGATCACCATCCTTTTAAATGTAAGGCACTGCTATTTTGACTTAGTACTGCTTTGAATACGCACAACCATTTGTCACTTTCAGCCATTTGCTGCATTTCCAGGACAGGACAACAATCTCTAAGAACAAATGAAGATGACCTCTGCATTCACCAAAAGCTCCAGGGATAGAACAAGTGCATCACTTCAAGCAGATTGCAGTGTGTTTCCATCACAAAGATTCTTGATGTTTTAACCAGAATATTGTCGCAGAAAGCACTGCAAAGGCATCCAATTCTACTGAGTGACCAGATACGCACACCATCTTCTTTAAGCATTAGTTGAGCAATCACTGTTCCATACAGCAACTATTTCAAAGAGACTTTAAAACCACACACCAGATTTAGGCTAGGCAGAAGCGTGTACTGAAAATAAAGGAGCCCCATAAGAATCCAGAAGCTGACCTTTTGTTGTGAAAGAACAGCACAACTGCCAGTACCTTTTTGCCAGCCTTTTTATACTGATGACTGGCAAGCCTGGACTCTTCTCTAGCTCACTGATTTAGGACAGAGAAAGAATACAGCAAAGCCAAACAGCCCCAACTCTTAAGCATTCGGTTTCACAATAGCAGAAAAGACTACATTTGTCTCTACCAAATCTTTTAGAAACTCCCCTCAGATCTTCACACAGCATACTTCTTTTTCCACAGGCACCTGCATACAGGTGTTCAAAATTCACTGCTCTATCTGAAATTCAGAAACACCAAATGCAGACTGTAGTCTTGTCTACCTTGTTGCAGCTATGGTATTTCTTTCAAACTACCAGCAAGTTTTAAGATACCAAGGAAGAAGCATGGCTGATTATTGTATCAGCAACTGCAGACTACCTGATAGGGAACAGCAAATATTCAGGAATACACACAAAAATTCCTATAATTATTCAAGTTGTGAAGATTTCAAGCAGACAATTTGTAAGAAGTTAAAATCAAAACCAGCCCTCATGCCTAATAGCTGTTACTTGCCAAAGAATAAGTCAGTCACATTTATAAAGCTTCACCCACGTTAAAAGAAATACAATCTATTTACCTGATAGAGTACTTTGCATCAGAGGTACTAGCCTTTTTCTTTTTTTAATTGTTTAAAGAGAAGTCATCTTTTAAGTATTTGTGCAATAAGAATATGGCTAGATGACAGCATTGATGGGAACTCTCTACACTACTGAGATGAAGATTTTTGTATCTTTAAACCTGTATAAAGCAGTTCCACTCAGAACTCCAGGCACCAAATCTCAAAACCATCTTCCACAAAGCTGTAAGAGGGGATGCCAGATTTCCTGACAAAATTAACTTTGGAATAAAAGGATAAAGGGGGTTATCTCTAAATCAAAATTAAGTCTTGGTTAAAAAAAAAAAAATAATAAAAATAATAATCACTAAGATAATCAAGCAGGTGCCCCCATTGGTTGAGTTGCCTCAACCAGTAAGCATCTGTGACCTGTTAAAGCTACAAAACGTACACTAAAAAAGTCACCTTCTACCTGAAAAGGACACACACTCACACACCTGTAACTCTCCTGATTTTAGATTGCATACGTCTCTATATACTCTGGCAAGTGTTTACTATGTCTCTCTTATAATTCATTCAAAATATGTACTTGACACTTCATACATCTGAAGGTAATGCAGTAAAACCTTCAGCATTGCTCTCTCACAACTTAAACTGCTGAGATTCAATGGAATTGGTGCCAATTTCAAATTATTCAGAGGAAGGTATGAAAATTCTATGGTGAAATCTTCATAATTCTGAAATCTTCAGAATGAAATATCATTCTGAAGAGGGCAAGTAGTCTTAATTGCCCTGCCTCTAACACATAACCAAAAAACATTTCAGACAGCTAGACCCAGTAGTTCAAGTGAACGTGCCATTTTTACACACTATTCTCAACAATATTTGCTTTAATTTTAATGAACTAACAGGTTTGATAGTGAGCAGATATTTTCCACCAATAAGGCATTAACATGCTTTAGGTTAACTTGAAGTTCTCTGATCTGTTTTACTGCACGATACTGGAACCAAACTGCTCAGGCATTAAGAATTGTGGGTGAATTCTGTGTGAGCATCATTGGTCGTGACTTCACACATTCTTTTCCCAGGAAAGAAGGTACTCCACGAAAAATGACAAGCCCTCCTCCTGAATGAAGATAGCCACAGAGGTTACATCAGATAACCTTTGCACTCAGTCTTGCTCTCAAATCTGCATCCAAGGTTTAAATTTCTTTTATCTTCAGCATTTTAAATAGATCATTAGATTATATTAAACGAGAAGGAGACAGCAGCTCATCACTTGCACCAATATTCTTACTGAAGAAGTTGTCTCAGGCTCTAGTAAGTGGACAAAAGCAATCTAGAGAGACAGATGAAAAAAGCAGCATGACAAAAAGCTACTGTCAGCTGCCACAGCTGCTCTTAGCCATGACACTTAAAGAGGGGCTGCAAGCCTATGCTAATTGGATTGCATGTCTGGTGCAACTAAAGCTCGCAGACTGCCTTGAACCAGACACGAAGGCTGTCTCTCCTAACTGTTTCCCATTTGACATGGGAGCAACTACCCAACTTGTAATTTACATGTACAGGTTCAAAGACATTAGCCGTTTGTAGGTTGAAGCGTCCTGTTTGCAATAAAGTCCATTTTAGGTTACTGTAAACTTAAAGATCAATATGCAGGACAATTACAAGAGCTTAAGAGCATCTTCTATTTAACTTCATTACAAGATTACTATTTGACCTACTTACCTGTATTAAACAGCACTGGAAATTTTGAAAGGCATGATAGTAAAGTACCATTCCTTAGCTTCTATGAAATAATGAGGCTTTCTAATATATATGAAATGACAAGGCAATTGTAGGAATCTAATGCCTCTTTCTAGCGTATTCATTTATGTACCATGCCAGCTATGCAGCTTCTCAGTCATCAAGACCTGAGTGACCCTCATCACATATCAGTACTGCCTAAAAATAGAGTTAACGAAATTTTTACAAGAGACTGTATATACTGCAAAAATTGAACTAGTTTGTGATATGCTGCGGATCTTCATCCCTTATTACATTTCTCCTCTTTATTTTTAACCCTCCAATTAACAGGTTTATTCTTAACATACAAACTAAACATCATTAAGTGCAGCAATACATGATCTCCCTGCTTAGGAGACCTAAAGAAGGTCAACATGAATAAGTATGCATCCTGACCAGAAGGAACATCTACTGAAACTCCTGAATATAAAAATCAGCATCATGCATAAAATAAAGGAGGTAGGATTATGTATCACTAAAGTAGCTATTAAAACCTTTGCAGAATTGAAGCAAGTGGTTTGGAAGCCCCAAAACCATGAGAGGCAATCATTTTGTAAAAATGGAGATACAGAAGCCTTCCACTAATACCAGGCAAAATCCTGAAATAAAGAATAAAGCAGCTTCTTACTAATGCTATACTGAACATACAATAGCAGCAAATGCAGCAGCAATTAAATTGTAGTTCCTTTGTATGCTATACAAGCTGCAAAGTACTCTGAATTCTCCTTTAAAATTTTCTAACAGTCAACATATAATTTGTGTAATCATATTGCATTCATATATGTGAGCAAATGAAAAATACTATCAAATTTTGCAACAAAGAAACAATTCAAAGTGTGTATTCCTGGTTGCTAAAGCTCTCTATGGCTTCCAGTGCTCCCAAAGGACTGTGGCTAGAGTGACACCTGCAATGCATTATAAATGTGTAATTACCATTTAAATGGGGTAAGGAAAGCTGGTGGATGAAATGGGAAAAGGCATTCCCTTAAAGCCAACCAAATACTGAAATTTCAGGCATGATCATCTTAATCTACAGAGTCAGGTTAACAAAGTCATTGTCATTCTGCCACTCATCCATGCCTGCTTAACTGAGAATCCTCTCTACCCTGCCTAAGAGTGCAAAATAATCTAGGGTCTCCATAATTATTTGCAGCAATTTTTATTAGATTATGTTTAATATGCTAACATACACATACACTATGCAGCAAAAAATTCAGACAAGATTAAAGGTTATAGCAGGACTTACCGCATTGTCCCACTAATTTATTTTGAGAGCCATTTGGCTGCATGTTATCAGACTATAAACTGTACAGATTAGCAATATTTAGGAATTCCATAATTTACATTTTGCCTCAGCTATACAGATCCTTTCAGTACATGCCAAATATTTATGTAAGAAGTTTTCTTCTATAGGGCAAACAATGAATTATGGGAATTCAGGCCTCAAACCTATTTGACAATATAAATTGATCTCTGACTATGCAGTGTCTATAACTAGCAAACAAGGCAACAAATAAACCTCTGAGATTTGCTATTGAAATTTATGTCTGATAGTGAAATTATGATCTTTCGTGGGTAAACTGCATTGCAAAGTGTAACTACTCAAAGGGAAGAATATGCCTGACTCCTTATGAGAAGGTGCTGCTCCTCCCACCAACACAATGAATGCAGGAACTTGTTCATAATTAAGTCACTGATGGACTAACATGCTTCAAGTGGGGGCAAAATGACACACTCGTTCAGCTGTGTACAGTATAGCTAGATTCTGAATTTGCTGCATCTATTCCAGAGGCACAGAATCACACTTAACAGTTGTCAGAAAACTCAAGTGCTCCAACAAGATCCAACCAAGCAGTCCTGATCTTAAGCACCGAAGAGAAGCGTGCCTTCATGAAGATGTAGGGCCATCCAGAGACAAGTGAATGAGTTTCATGAGCAGAATGCAGCCTTCTGAAATGTCACTTAACCCTTGCGCAGTGCTTTGATATACTGTTATAGCAAAGTCAGAACCTAGTGAGCTTGCTCCTCTTAGCTGCACTGCACTTAAAGATACACAAAGTTACTTATCTATACAGCAACACATGGTTATTTTGGAGACATAGCCACTATCTTGAACATGCAGGTTCTTCACCAGATCTATCCCAATGCTTCAAATTTGTCAAGATTGACTCTATGGTCTCTTCTAAGGAGAAACAAGCACAAGAAGTGTGTTATTTTGTTTGTCACTTTATTTAATCTGGACTACTCTTGTCAACTGCTTAATTCAAAGAAACTTATTGAAACTGAATTGTGGCGAGGGAAAAGGGTCAACTATCCTATAAAACACCACAGGACTTTAACAAAAACTCTTCTTTCTACAACATTCCTCCTCTTGCAGCTCAAGCATAACACTACATTTTTCCTCCATTCCAGTAAAGAAGTGTATTTTTTGCAAATACTCCCCAGGCAGAGACTTCCCTGCAGAGACTGTCTGTGTTACTTCTGCATCAGCCAAAGGATACACTGCAGATTCATGAAGGCACTGCCAGACACTGCCAATCAGTTTAAGAGGAGGATGAAAATTATCAGTTTTGAGCGACTCTTCAGACCCCTCGAATCACCTTCTCTGACATTATTGTAATTTGCATAATAAGTGCAGCATAGTTTTAGCATATCTGTCTCTGAATACACAGTGCTATTAACCCTATGAACAAGTCAAATTGAAAACCGAAGGGACTGACAAGCCTAGATAATAAAAGCCTCCTATACAACACATCTGGTCTGACAGTCTCGTGATAGGCGTCTCCTACTGGACCACAGCTTCACTTAAAAACAAACAAAACCCAACAATCAGGCTGAATCCTCCATCTTTTTTTTTTTTTAATACAACTGATTTTAAAAGTTTGTTATCTGCTAGTCAGTCTGTCCTTCTTCAATAACCATGGGTCTGCTAGCCAATTTCAACCAGATTGTTTTCTCGAGTTCAAGAATAAAAATCCATGCTCTTACTTAGGAAGAGACAGAAAGAACAATTTATTATAATTCATACATTTAAATGCCCACCCCAAGCAAACAACTCATCCAGCACAGTCTCTTGCCAAGCAGGAGAGGCAGCAGAGGAAGAGACAGAGCATAACAGCAATGAGGTCAGGTGTTCAGGTGACAGAAAACACACATCAGTAGGAAACTGGGTTTGATTAGTTCTGCTGCTCATAAAGCAGCTTGATTCTTCGATGAATTTTTAAAATAATTAGGAAAAGGGGAAAAAGGAATAGATTTAGATACTGAATATCGAAACAAGATTACCACATACCATACTTCTTCCGTATTTCATCATGCTTCTGTTTTCTTTCATGTTTCCTGCAACAAATAAAAGCATTAGAACATTCAGACTGTTTTAAGCTGTGAGCAAAAATAATTATAGCTGAAAGACATTGTAACATTTTTAGTATACAATTACAAACTTCAAAAAAAATCACATTTATCCGTTATGTATTTTGTCTTTAATATTCTCTGTAACTTCTTACTAATCAATAGTATCACTAAATAAAATATATTTCCAAGCATAATGAAATGCATCATTTTTCCTATATAGAAGTAATGTGCCCATATGTATGCACATTAAAAACACACATGCATAAAAGGCAAGTAGCAATACTGGAGAATTCTCTGATGCTTTCCAGCTGGGAGTATAATTGTTAATATAGCTGTGAAAACAGTGTGCTTCAGAATCACTATTCAATATAATAGTTTTATGAAGATAAAAGCTACTGTATTAACTGCTTTGTTTAAGTAGTACAGCAAGTATAAGTGAAAACTATTAGTTTCTAAAATCCAGAATGGTAACCATGTAGGGAATGAATTAAAATATAGTGCTATTAAAAAAAGGATGCCTCCAGTTATTTCTTCTTTCAATACTGCGTTGCCAAATTTCGACCATTCTCATAAGTTAAGTGTCTGAGAAGTTGATTTCTTCTTCCCCTCTCTTTTGAAAAGGCAAAGGAATGAAGGAATTTTAAATGGGAAAGATTCATTTCTTGGATAAATTATCTTCATTTTAAGGGATCATATATTTTATTTAAAAAAAAAAAAAAGCTCCTACATAACTGTTTCACTAGGATGATCCAGGTTCTTTTTATTTTGCGGAAAGGACAAAGTTTGACAAAAGAATATTCCTCTAACATAAAAAACATCAGCTGTTTGTTGTCCTTAAAAAAAAAAAACCATCCCAATTAGACAAGTTGTGACTTTCCCCGATTCTAATTTACACATATTCAGCAAAAAGCTGTTAGGCACTGACAGCTTAATTCACCAAAGATTCCATCTGCCCTATGCATATTCCACCTTCAAACAATTCCTACTGCTAATCAGATTCTGTGCGTCCTCAGAAGCAATTATCCTGTTTCCTGTGGATCTGAAGGGTTGAACTGGCCTTTCCCTGCAACTGCACTTCTGGAAGGCTTGCAGATAAAGCGCGATGAGAAAACCAAACAGAGGAGATTGACCCAAAACCTTCTGCTGCTGTTTCCCTGAGATACCTATCCTACTCCCTTCTATCCCACTCTGCTGTTTGGGCTCAGGCACCATGGCGCACAGAACAACCTAGCCAAACTGAATGAGGAAGAAAAGCAAGGGTGCTGAGAGGACTGAGAGGTTGAAGAGAACAGGAAGAAGAGAAGTTGGGTTTACCTGCTGATGGTAAGCTTCCTACTTAGGTAGGATTCCTACTTTCTGTGCTGCATTAAGACACAACCATGAGGCACAGGATCTCAGGAAGAGAACAGAAGAAATCTGCATAAAGCAGCCTTCTCTTATATAAAGCTGATCTTTATTTCTGTATGGTTTTCATGTGACATTACGTGACCTCAAACCAAGTTTTTTTTTCTGTTACTAATGTATTTGACCTTTTTGCATGCTTTAACTCCAATAATGGAGACTCACTGCTGCAGTTTCAATTGAAATCTCAGTGCTTCAGCAATCCACCTGAACACCCAAACACAGAAAGCAGTAAGTATTTGCAGAAGAAGTGGGGTTGAAATCAGTCTGTGTAAGCCTTAAATCTCAAAATACTTTAGGATACCACCCTAAGACTATTAAAAAAATAAAAAAAGATCTAAAAGCCTTAAATTATTACACTGTTTAAGTCTGAAGGGTAAAACCATTAATATTTGGGGAACATTCAAACTTTGCCAGGCAGCCACTACCGTGTAATAGGATCCATGACTAAATCCACGCACACTAAGCCTTAGGTACACATCAACTGAGTAGAGTCAGACAATTCTGAAGAGTGACTGAATGAGCCACCCGAAGGAGCCTTACTGTTAACATCTTACACTGCGATCAACCAGTGTCATCATACAGTGTCCCCAACTTGGTTCTGTTTCTTAATACTACTGCTATTATTCCTTCTTCGGCATGCAAAATTCTTGGCTTTTACAATTTGCTCTCAGTGTCATAAGCAAAGAATGTATTTTTCCTGATAATAACAATTCATAGTTTTCCATAATTGGTTATTTGTAAATTAATTGCAATCCTTTATTTCCCCCCAAACACTGTTCTCCCTTACCACAACCCTACCAAATAATACTCAGCAGTTTCTCATTCAAGATATCGCTGCTGTTCTTTGGTTATCAGCTAGCAAATCATGATTTACAAGCTATACAAATCTAACAAGCATACCACATATTTGCAGCTGTAAAACAAGAAAAAGATATACTACTTGATGCCATTTTAAATGATTTTTCTTGTACATAAAAAGTCAAATAAAAGATTAAAGTTATGCAATAAGATAGCAATTTCTCTTCTATACTCATAGCTAAAAACTGAATCCAGATTTCCTTTGCCTCTTGCTCCTCATTAAGTACAAATTCTACATTACAGCAGTGATTTTCAATCTTCTTAAAGTATTTTTGTAGAATTCCCATAAACAATGTCAAGGGGCTGAGAACATCAAGTGGGTTTTAAAGATTATCAGAACAACTACATTTTTAATTATTTCAAATAGCCTCTTAGAAAATTATCTAGATGTCTACGCAGCTGGCAGGAGGTAGGTTGGCCAAGAGCCACAAAGATGAAGGATAAAGTGGCAGAAAACAGACTATTAGACACTGGTTGTCAAGCGTCCTTACTGACCACCAATGTGTAGTAGCAGCTATTTTAAGATATTTGCTTGTGTTTCTCTTCAACAATGTAATAATATATTTACAGATTCTACAGACTAACACATTCCTGGACAGTACATGACCACATTCCTTCAAGTTTTAAGTTCACAGAATCACTTTGGTTAAGTTTCAAAGGGACCTCTGGAGGTCATCTGTTCCATCCCGCTGCTCAAGCACCGCCACCTAGAGCAGGCCACCCAGGACTGTGTTCAGACAGCTTCTGAAACCTCTAAGGATGAAGACTGCCACAGCCTCTCTGTGCAACCTGTGCCAGTGCTCCGTCAAGTCTTCCAACAATACCAGACATCAGAAATACACTGAGAGAAAGAGGAGTTCCAGAGGGCAAACTGCTGGCAAAGAGCAGGTCCTTAGCAGCTAGAGAGGATAGACCACATAACACAATACAGCATTTCCTCTGTAGTTTAATGGTGAAAAAAGGCTTGCGAGACTATGCCCTGCAACCTGCTACAAGCGATTCCTCTCAGAAGGACATACAGGAAGAGAGCAGTGGGTAGGCTGAGGTGTTTGAGCCTGCGCCTTGTTTCCCCATGACCCTCCTAATCCATCCCTGGGCACATCGTAAGCATAAGTTCAGACCATGGGAAATACCCAGGGCTGCAGTTATGTTTCCTCCTGCAATTGGAGCAGTTTGTCTGCTTCAGACAGTCCTGACGCAAGCTAGGGAAGACAGCTACTGCTGCAAAGCTGCGGCAGTCGCTCTGGCAGGGCAGCCTGCTCCCAGAGATGCTTGTTCCTTAATTCAAGAATGGATTCAGCCTCAGCTCTGTGTTGCACATAGCCCAGCATGTGCACAGCAAACCCTACCCTCCAGAAGCATGGCATTTCCTACGGATTAACCGTATTAAGAATTTGAAGTTGATGTACACATCACAGTGGAAAGGTTATGGTACACAATTATCCCCTGTGCCCCTGGTCATGAGCCACTGCTTTAAAATGAATGCAGGTTAAGTGCTGATTTCGCTGAACATTACATGTTATTTAGGATGGACATTTCAGCACAAGGCACGTGGTTTTGACGTACAATGAAACGTTGATATTGCTCACAGAATTCCTTTTCTTTAGATTAAAGCTATTTTTTTTTCATTTGTTGTTCTTTATTTCACCCTCACCAATCCAGTTTTCAAAAAATCTAAGCTAGTCAGAATGACTCCTATCTAGGAAGGGTAAATAAATGCGGCTACACATCAGCTACATACTGCTGACATTGAAAATTATGCCTAGTTGAGGTATTTTGTAAAGGTCATCTCCTGACATTAGACAGAGTGACAAACATTGAACGAGGGACACAGCTTGTCAAGGTTCTTGAGGAAAAGCTAGTATCCATATTGGTACACCTGAAGAAACGTAGCCAATTAGTCTTGGCAATCTGTGTTGGGATAACAATGTTTAAAGAACATCTCATACCAACTCTGGAAGTATTCATAGTGTCAGAAAAGTTATCTTAGAGGATATTTTGCTATGACTTTTTAAAACCTTGCACGTAATAGTTAACGAAGCACAATAACCACCACACAACTACATGAGATTATCCCTGAAGATATTAAAACTAACAAAATCATAATGCAAGCACAGGTGTGCAAAGCAAAGCGTAGGACTTGTATTGAAAAAAAAATCTAAAGAACACCTACAAAGAAACAGTGCAAAAAAATGCAATTTTTTATTTTCAGTGAGCTTGAGAGACAGAGCAATCATACAGCACACTACATTCTAAAATATCAATTGCTTGACTGTTCAAACAAATGCATAACTTGCCTTTTTATGTTAGTGTATTCAGGACATTTTGCTATCATGACTTGTTCCATCAAGCCAGGACATTCTTGCAGAGAAATTACATTAGATGCTGCATTCTAAGCATACAATATCACTTGCCTTTCTCTCTTCTCTCCCTTCATCTTTGAAATCAGTTAGTGAACTGCGAGCAGGCATTAAGCAATCCTATAGGATGGCTTGTTTTACTATAATCATTTACGTCTTCCCTACAAGACCCATTTGATTCTCTCTTTAAAAAAATTGAATAGAATTTAAGGTTTTAGATAAAAGTGCTGCAACAGCAGCATATCATGCCCAGCTGTTAGCTGCATAAGACACAACACTGAATTTTTCAGATGACTTGTCCAGAACACAGAATGATTCATTTCATAATACTCTGTACCCCTGCTAGGCTCTGGGAATTCCATATTTTTCCTCCTGGTGCCTTTGTGCACATCTTACCCAAAACCAATAGAATTCAAGACCGAGATCCAAGCAAAATCCTCTTTCTTTTCCTACCATCTTGTATTTTGTTGTATGACAGCACCATTATCAGATGTACAGGTGGAAGCTGCTCAACCACAGGATGTAGCAGATTGCTAATAGACAAAGGCCGTCATAAATGTTTGCAGCAAGGCGGCCCTGGACACCTGTACTCTCACTGTCTCACATATATAAAGAGTGATATGAGCTAACAAGAAAACAAGAATAGAAGGCTACCTGTGAATTAACGCTTCCTGGAACGTTTCACTTGGTGAATGCCTTTTTTTGAGGGCAGGAAACTATCAATGACTAATAGGAAGGACTAGTGCTAAGAGAACTGTATGTGGCAGCATTTCAGGAGAACTACAACCACAGATTGACACATCTGTTTCAAAATGAGGCAAAAGAGGACACAACAGAAGGAAAGAAGGATATGAATATATGGAAAAAGGGCTTTTTCCATATATTTATGGAAAAGCATGTGACTAGCATCAAATGGGAGCCAGTCCCATGTTACAATAAATTGTTAAGCTAGTCATCGCTGCTAGATCAGCTGTGAGGGCTGGTCCCATGGACATACTCCCTGTTACAGCAGTGTCTCAGATGAGCTCGAGAATTCAGAATTTACTAGAGTAATCACACTGCTGTTGCAACATGCTCCACACTAAGGTGTCAAAGAAAGGAGTATTTCTGCATGAGAAACTTAATGCCTCCATGCAAAAATTCCCTGAGTGGAGTCACCTGGAAGCACACCTTTGCCCCTTGCAGTCCCTACTCATATTAAAAATGAATCTGAGTTCAGAAGAAAACAGCAACAGCAGCAAAGGAGACCACCTGCTATACCGCCACCAAGTATTTAGCAAACATAACCAGGAAGCAGCAACTTAGGATCAATTTCCTTTCCAAGTCTGTAAGGACTTAGACCCACACCTGACAGCTCCAAGCCTAGCATTAGTCCAGTTAGGACTCTCCTCTTAACTTGCTGAAGCTAATCCACTGTCAATCTCCAAAATAAAGACTTCAAAAGGAATTATGATTCAAAATGTACATACATGTAGGCTTGGTAGGTACCATGTATCACGATCTTACCTATAAGAACTGTTTCTCTAAAAAACAATGTAAAAACCATGAACAGTCACTTGAGAACTAAAGTAATAAAATCCTCCACCTGGAGAGATGCCGTTCTCACTGAGCAGCGCTGTACCAGGGCTGACTCTCTATAGTACCACTAGTCTTGTGGTTATTTCTACACTATGCTACAGCTTTAACAGAAATGGCAACATAGGACTAAGTCTAAAATGAGACCTGAGGCAAAGCTTTCCATTTCCTGAGCAAAATTCACGATATCTAACTCAGAGGCACCTGTTAAGCCATGGAAATGCAGTCTCCTAACCAGGTTTGCAAATCTCACACTGAGCCCAGTTCTGTAAAAACCCACTGTCGTGCCAAACTTCACAATAGCTATTGGACTTTTTGCTTAGTGCTCTGTGTATTCCTTAGAAGGGCAGAATACTCCTATATTACTAAGAAGGGGCTATATATCAAGCTGCCAAAACTTACCTCTGAAGAGACTGTAGTCTTCGCTCCTCTCTCTTTCTAGCTAACTGCTCCTCTTCATCATCTCGTCTACTAGAAGAATAACAAGAGAAGGAAAACGTAAGAGGAGATAAAAACAATTTTAGTGCTAGACAGTGTTGACACTTATTTTTGAAAAGTGTTTAGTCTGATCTGAGACTTCTTCACAGCGATGTATAATTTCATTACTGTATAATTGAAAAAAAAGTACAATTACCCTTTCACAATTTTATTACACCCAAACATTTTACCCACTGTACCATTTCCAATGTGCCATTCCGACTCCACAGGACAATTTAAAGCCTCTGAAGGACACGTCGCAGACTTCTCCTGCTTGCCATTTTCCCCACGTGTCACACCCCATTTAGAGTAAGCCTACTACACACACAGTTAAGTTCATTGTTGCACCTTCAAAGAAGATTGATGGTTCATAAGACTTCAGTGCCAGAACTATTTATCTTTCCCAACAACCATCACTATCCAATCTCAAGTTGGCCCCAGGAAAGCGGTCTGCATGAACTGTCTTGGCAGCTGCCTGCCTTGTTATGGAGTAAGCAAGAATTTACCTGAGTGCAACTGCTGCACGACTCTGGGAAATGCTGAATCTACATGGTAGAGCTGAGCTGTGCAGGTGCAGATATGCTCTACTGAATGCATGCTCTTAAGCAACATAGCACAGTAAGAGCTGCAACATACAGCCTTTGCCTGCCTTAAGGAAAGGTTTGTGACTTGCTTTTGAGAAAGCTCAGCTTCACTTATTCATCAGAGGTGCCACATGAGAGTTGCAGAACTCTAAAACACATGCCAAACAATACTTGTCTGCTATTTGTTTCTGACAGAATTAAGTGTCAATTCCTCAGGATTTGTGAATGGACACCTGCCATGATTCTCCAGAAATTGTTAATTTTTCAGAACTAAATACACTCTCTGAAGATGTCTGATTTAAATATTTACACTATTAATACACCTGCTAATACACAGCTCTAGTACCACACATCTGCAACAACCAGCACACAAGTTAAGCAAGAGTGACATCCAGTGGTTAATTACAGCACATGTAATGTTTTAACAGATACAAAATTCACAGATTAGAACTGTAAACCGAACTCAATTTTTCCATCTGCTCAATCATGTATTTGAACATGTTAGCTGTTTAAATGCAAGCCAGAATGCACATAATGTTTCATGTACAAATGTTCTAGTCCCTTCATTTTTGTTTCCACTTGAAGAGTTAAAAACTCTGGGGGACAAGCAGGTATTAGCAGCGAGAAACAGATGCACCTTTACTAGAAAGGCATCCTTTTGTTTGACTAATTAATTCCCCATTTTTGCATGTCCTGGAAGACCAGCAGCTTTCATTCTTGGGCATCCTTCTGCAAAACTACTTCATTGGAGATGCTGGTTCTTTTAACTATGCAATTGTCTCACTTCATCTTAGTGTTGCAAAATACAAAACCAACAAATCAGCGAAACAGTGGTATAGGATTCAAAAGATGTATTCCTTTTCCATAACAAAAAAACGCATAAAATTACACTTGATTCTAGATACTGCAATGGAATTGAGTTTTTCCTCAAAGTCAGAAAGTCTGGAATTAACAACCACGTTTTTTTAATATCCTGAAGTCATCAAGAAGAGAGTCTGTTTATTATAGTTCTGCAATTAATTATATCTCAAGTACACGGAACCAGACTCAAAGTCCAAATGAAGGATAAAAAATAATGAACTGAAACAATGCATCAATAGTCCTAGGATATCTGTGGTAGGTGAACCAGGTGAGCCAACTACATCATTAATGTGGGCATTAATGCTTCTAAATATTCCTTGTTCAAGAAAAATGAATGAGTTTGTCATCTGAACGCTAATAAATTCTCACAGCTTGTAAATTCTCCGAAGGAACACTAATGCTTCTGCCAAACAAGGTTATACCTGAGAGATGAGAATATAGATCAAAAACAGCAAAGCAGATCTAATACTACCCTTTCACAAATTTTCCTTTTTCTAATTTTTAAAAATATAAAGTTGCTGGTGTTTTGTTTTGATTTTGTTCTGTTCTCCCAGACCTAAGGAATCAGAAAGCAAAAGAATTCCTGCTGGGAATGAGTGGGTTGAGAGCCAGTAATATCTCAGGTTTCAGCGTAATAATACATTCTGGGTCTTCCTGAAATAATCTGGACCCCACTTTGACAAGACCTTTAAAGCTTTTAAGTGTCAGAAGATTAAGCTTGACACCTCCGGAGCCCTGACATAAACCAACTCTCAACTACCCCTCTATATTTAGAATTAGATGTTACAGCAGTGATTGACGACTTAGCTAGTAACACTGAGGTCTGACACAAATCTCTTTTTGTGCAGGAATTAAGCTCTGTTTGTTGGCATGTCAGCCACTGGAACCAATACAGCTCTTCTGAGAGGAAGTTGGCAGATCTTACGAAAAAATCTAAAACAGTCTTCGGGGCTTATCAGCACAGGGCTAAAGAGACACCAATTTTTGCACTAGGATGGATTTGCACTAAGATGAACCAATCTACCAGGAAAGCAGGTACATGAATCTTCCTCACGGAAAAGAGAAGGGAATGACAATTTTTTTTTCATTTTTTTGACAATTTTTTTTCTCTTTTTCCTTGAAAGCCACAGTGTACCATTTTTCAGTGGCTTGAAAAAAGCCACTGCATGACTGCATAAGTTCTAAAAAAAAAAAAAAAGAATCCAACAAGAAAAATGAATTATAAGTACTTGAAATAGTGCCAAAATCATTTCAGACCAAGAAATAAGGTCTGCATTTTGTTCACATGAGAAGTGCTGAAGCATGATGGGTACAGCGCTAGCTGAAACTACCCTGCCCAAAAACCTAGAACTTCACCGATGCAGAGGAGAACATTGTGCTGCAGCAATAAACACGTGGCTTTTCATGTGTTGTTATGAAATAAGCACTGATAACTTCAGATGGCAGCACTGAGCCTGTGTTTAAGCTGCTCATCAACTGTTTCACGCCCACTTTGAGGGACATCAGCCAATCAAGAAGTACACCAGTAGAAAAGTTTTACAAGTCCTCCCAGATCTAATAGACATTTAATTTTTGCAGTATTACTTTACTTGAAAATAAGTCAGTCCTCCTTAGTATCTTAGAGCAAATAATTATCATTTTACATTTAGAATATTTCATTGACCAGGCAAACACACTTAGATACTGACAGCATGCTGACAGACCCTGGAGCGAACTTTGAAGCATGACCACCAAACACTAGGATGTTGCTCTGTTACATGTTCCCCACCTTTTTGTTGTACCATGAGCTTGCCTTAAAAGAAGTCATCCATTCTGTTATCACAAGAAGCAAGTATTTATTTGGCCATACAAATATTTCATGTCTGGTCTTAATAAGGAAACATAAAATATAGAATTGTAAAGTAATAGCTTATTTAAAAAACATGTCTGTAATTCTGCCCCTAACATACATCACTTCACCATCCTTCCAGCATCATTTTCAGAATCACTCATGTCACTAAACACCTCCTTTTTGTTGTCTTTTTCAAACACGAAGTTATCAAAACTAATTGCCAAATTAAAAGACTTTTAGTATGTTGGAAAGTAAAATTGTAGGTTGGTAGGTAGGGGAAACCAGCACCCAAAGTTAGTAAAGGAAACAAATAAATACACATTTACCTCTTGGAACGCTTTCTGCAGTAACAGCAGTAACAGCAACAGATGGCTATGGACACCAGAATGAGTCCAGCTATTACAGCTATGGCAATGATCAAAGCTTCAAAGTTTACTGAAAGATATGAATATATTCAACTTGTTAGACTCCAGCATTAACATTACCTTTCCAAAAGGAGTGAAGGAATTACACTCCTTCCCAAACCCCTCCCCTTTTTTTCTTAGCTTTATGTACAAAAAACCCAAGCCACAACTCTGTGTAATCACCCCAATTAAAACTCAGCATATCATATTAGAATTTAGGTACTATGCATGATCCTGCAATGAGAAAACATTAAAACAAGTTGTTCTCTACATACAAAGAATTATTAAACATTCATTCTGTAACACTTTATATTACATAAATCTTCTGGTGCAGTTCCACAGTTTTGTCCCCCAGTTGCTACCTCAGCCTCTGTACAGGGTGAACAAAAAGTCATGTAGGTGCAGCATTAGTGTGTATACACTATGGGCAGCAAGGAGAGAAAGAGCAAAATCAAATGATATGACAGTATCAGTCAGGGGATTTCAAGGAGTCCAACAAAAAAACAAAAAACAAAAAGCAACACTCCACACTACCTAAGTCATCTCCTACATCCAAAGAGCAATTAACACATGGACAGGAGTTATTATTTTAACAGCATACATGTACGCTCTAACAACTATATCTGGTCTAAATTGAGACAGGACTGCATTCATAAAAGTCAGAAATCTGTAGTTCTGGAGAACACATCCAGAGAAGCAAACAAACACAGAAAACATAAGCAAAGCAATGGACACAGCTCTGGGGAGCTATTTAAAGGGTGTAAAATGAAGGAGAGCTAAGGGAGCTTCTAGCAACAGAGATTAAAAACAGAAATACCTCCACCCCACACTCTCTTGCTATTTCAAAGCATGATGGGGTGGCAGCAAAGCTTCACTTTTCCCCTCTGAATTCTGCCAAAATTCAGCAGCCTTGCGCTGCTATAAAAAGCAGCTGCACATGCTACTTCTAGCTTTTACTGCTTTGGGGTACTAGTGATGAGCAACTCAAACTCAGCAAATGACTTTCAGAAGGTCTGCCCTCTCTGACCACATGCATCAGCCAGAGCTGCTTCTGCTAAGTCTGTTACTTCTCCACTGACCTCACCAACTTGTGTCTAACTGACACGTATCTTTCACAGATCTTGTGAAAGATTAGATCCCAGCCTTGAAGATAGTACGATGGACAACCTACCAGTTTTCTAGTAGTTTCTTTTAACAGTCAAATCACGCTGAAGCACAGCATATGACTTGGAGAGTACTCCCCAGTTTGATCCTGCAGTCATTGAATTTGGTTCTGTATCTTCCTCCTGCATTCTAAAAACACCTTTAAGACCTACCTTTTCTCAGTAGTAATACATTAACCAAGTCTCCTCTCAAAATTCTTTTTTTTTTTTTTTGTAGGGAGACTGATTACACCCTATAAGAAACTGTGAATCATTGTTCCAGCTTTTAAATCATCATTTGTCATCTTCACATGAACCCTCTCTTTCTCAACATCCTTTAAAAATACTGACAGAAGAACCACGCAAAGTTTTCAAGTATGATCATAACAGTGCCACACACAAATAAAAGATGAACTCCTATTCCTATTCATGAGCAGCAATCCGTAGTGTTAGCAACCTTTTTACTGCACTACATCAACAACTTCACTGTTTATTCCCCTAAACCACGATGGCTCATTCCACAAGCAAGAGACATTCAGATTTAGATACCCTGAATCCCGCTATAGCTTTATGAGCCCACAACTACTTTACGAGCCCTGCCAATAAGACCATCCTCGATAATAAAACTCAAGTCATTTTTATGTGATATATGACAACACGTAGCCAAATCAAGCAGCATGCAATTCTATTAACAATAAAGAATTATTGTATGTATACTCTAAACACTAAAACAGCTTTAAAATTTTATCTCATTTTCTTGTGTACTGCTTACATATAACGTACACAGTTTAAGATAGAAGCCTCAACACATTGAGGGCCCCAAACAATATGAATTTTGATTAAAGAAAAAAATGTCCTGCTAGTGTTTTACAAAGATCTTTCAAAATATTTCAATATAAAGAAATTAATCATGGGATGTAAGCATACAGAAAAGGTTGGATGCTCTAACTGTAAATTCCTTTACTTTACATATACAAAATTAAATGCAATCTTTATTTGTTTCATAATCCTTGCCTAGAATCAGTTACAATACTTTCCCAGTAGTTTGTTCTCTTCATTTACATTATGGATTCCTCAGAACAGGACACAATGTAATCATTATTTGTCTGGGGTGACAAACATGAACATGATAGAGTATATTTATAGTGTCCCAAACCTAATGAACAGCTTAAAGCAGATTAAAGCATCAAAGCAACTATAAAGATGCATAACCTCCAACTTACAACTTCAATTTTGTTCCACAGAAAAATGTTGTAAACATTTCATAGAATCACAGAATGCTTTGGGTTGGAAGGGACCTTAAGGATCATTGAGTTCCATCCTTCCCCCCACCATGGGCAGGGACACCCCTCACCAGAGCAGGTTGCTCAAAGCCTCATCCAACCTGGCCTGGAACCCAGGGGTGGGGTATCCACAGCTTCTCTGGGCAAATTTTTGCTTGTGCACTGTAATTTACTGGCTATGGTTTATAATACAGTTTAATATATAGTTCCTGAACCTACACATTTTCATATGAAAACATTCCACCACATGACTTCTCTCATTTTGTTACTCCTCTAAGTTATAAGCAACTAAATTTGTTCAGTGTTCTAAATATGGTTTCATCTCCATTAAGAAAATTAAGTATACTATTTATATTTTTAATTGCCTTTTAATTGAAGCTCTCTACTTTAGTTCTACATGGAAACAAAATATTTTCAAAAGATGAATGGAGTTGGAATGATTCTCTAAGAATGGCTGAACTTTAAGCCATGTCTGGACAAACAATACAAATTGGTTGCCAAATAACTAAAATAACTGAACCAAATTTTGATTGCTGGTACAATTTTACTTTCACCAAACCTATAATTGTGTACTGTCTTTGGGGCTACAGAGGCACAGAATTACTATTTGAATTCATGGTCAAAGGATAAGAAGCCTCTGCCCCTGCAGATACTTGAAAACAAACCGACTCAGTCTCCCATTGGTCTAACTCCTTCCATCTTCAACACAGGTCCTTACATAATTAAAAATATGGGACAACAACAAATTCTCTTTGACCCTAGTTGGTCCCTAAAAAAGGGCCACAGGATGCAACTGGGTTATTAGGGACAGGATTAGGTATATTAAATAGCATTGATGCTGAGGTCTTAATGAGTAGAGTAACTGCTACTACAGATGACCTAAGGAAATTGGAACAACCAATAAAATCATCCTTATTGGCTTTAGGAGCAAATCAATGGCTTCTATCAGATATTTTACCCCATTGGGAACAAATTGAGGAAAATGATCATCAATTAATTGTAAATGCCCTTGGAAAAGCCCAAGGCAATACCTCCCTTGCCTTGAGCTGTATCCAAGCGCAGTTATGGATACAATCTGTAGCAGCAGCTATTATTAGAGAGGGAGAAGGAGGAACTTTGCCCACTGAAATTCGAAAATTGATTTGGGATAATGCTTCAGAATTTGAAAAAGAATTTCAAGCTTGGTGGCAATTAGTCAACTTTACCCATTAAAATGATAAAATTGTTGCCTTTATACTTACTATAAGTAATGCCACCGTATACAATGTATATCCAATCATTGCATTAGGACTCAATCATAACGGAACTATACTTTATCCTAAAGAGCATAAAGTATGGGCCCATCAGAAGGGAGGAAAGTGGCAAACAATTGATGTAAATGCATGCATTGTGCGTGAACAAAAAGGTTTCATCTGTGAAAGTAACACGCTGGAATCTCAAGACATTTGTCTTGACACTGAGCAAAATATTTGCCACTTTGAGATACATCCTAATGAAACCCTTAAAACTGTACTTGTATATATTGGGAAAGGTTGTGTTTGTATGAGAACTCATTGTGATTCTGTAGTCGTAGATAATACAGAGGTAGATACCAATAATCACTCTAATGTTTGTGTTTGCAATTTTACCAAAATTCTAGGATGTGATTTTAATTACTCAGTTCCTGTCACTTCTTATCAACTTATTGCATCTAATTATATTCTGCTTCATGAACTGCTGCCTACTCCTATTGGAATGAACCTCACCTTGGTGAAGAAATTGCTGGTACATGAGGACCTGAAGCAGCTGATGACTCAAGTCCGAGAAAATGGACAAAAGACTCTGATTACTGTCCATCATGATGCACAAGAAATACATCGAGTGATGGAAAGAGTGAAGAGAGATGAGAGACACCGTTGGTGGGACAATTTGTTTGGATGGTTGCCAGCTGCCAAGGGAATCTTCAACAAGATGCTTCACCCTGTTATTGTTCTGCTAATACTCACTGTGTTATGTTTTATACTGACAATTAGTTTGTATGTTAAACTCTGGTTTATGATGAAACGTTTAGCATCCCTACACAATGTACATACACTCGGTAAACCTCAATCCGAGAATGTATGTGATGTCCCTGACATATTCCAACTGTCGTGAAGCTTGAGTAACTATAGTCACGGGGTGGATTATGTGGTGTAAATGCCTGAAGTAACTAGGAAAATAAAACTAACATTCACACTTTTAAGGAAAAGGTACAGCATTGAAGAGGCTTTCAGGGTAGGGCATAACTGCATTCCCTAGGCTCCCAACCTTAGATGCTATCGCGCTGGGGAAACTTGGTGTGCTAGCTCTAAGGAACACCATGGAGCGTGGAGTGGAGTGGAGACACCACGGCTAGGCTCTGTAATCAGGTGGGACCTCGATCGTTCTTGTGCACAAAGCTGCACTTTTTGCCACCCTAAGCCAAAGACCTGTCATGTTTTGACAAATGCTGTACCCTAGTGTTCTTTTTGCTCATTATAATATCATTATAATACCAAAACACACCTCCATCCCAAAAGCTACCCGCCTCCAAGGTGCGACCGCCCCTCACTGAGCATGCGCTCTGAATTTCTTGGAGCCTATTACTTTAAACGGAGACGGGAAAACTTTACACCAATCATAACTAAGATATGCTTGACTAGAGCCACTCAAGCTCCACCTAAAAGATAGAAAATAATATAAATTGGCCCAAGAGAGAGGGGATGTTAGGGAAGATACCATCGTCAGGGGAGATACCATCCCAAGGACATACAACATCCTTAGGACCTCCTGACTCCTGGGATCAGTCGACGGGCTGAGCCTCTCTTCCCCCCCATTGGGACGCCTTTGGGTGAGATCTGAATATTTGCTTATAAATCTCTATAGAGTCTTTGATCCTTTTAACGCGTTTATTTCTAGGCTGCGCACCTAGAACCCCTAGAACCCCTAGAACCCCTAGAACCCCTAGAACCCCTAGAACCCCTAGAACCCCTAGAACCCCTAGAACCCCTAGAACCCCTAGAACCCCTAGAACCCCTAGAACCCCTAGAACCCCTAGAACCCCTAGAACCCGCACCTAGAACCCGCACCTAGAACCCGCACCTAGAACCCGCACCTAGAACCCGCACCTAGAACCCGCACCTAGAACCCGCACCTAGAACCCGCACCTAGAACCCGCACCTAGAACCCGCACCTAGAACCCGCACCTAGAACCCGCACCTAGAACCCGCACCTAGAACCCGCACCTAGAACCCGCACCTAGAACCCGCACCTAGAACCCGCACCTAGAACCCGCACCTAGAACCCGCACCTAGAACCCCTGTAACACCTGTGTATTTCATGCATACTAGCTTGCTTTTGCAGATAGTCACTATCACCGGCAATCCAAAAGAACCTGATTATCTGTTGCTGTAATAAACCATACTTGATTGCATTGTGATAGCTCTCCTTAATGCAACTAGGGTCAGGGTGGTTATCCGTGATAGTTCAGTGTTCTGAATCTAACCAGACCCCCCAGACGGTTAATGCATTGTTGGTGAATGTCTGAACGGACCCCCAGGTGGTTATTACGTTTTTGGTGAATGTCCGAACGGACCCCCAGTTTTGGTGAATGTCCGACTGGTTCAATACTCTGAATCCAACCGGGCCCGTAACGGTTAATCAGCTACACCCCTTTAACGCGACAGAAGCAAAAAGTAATTTGAAGCTATTAAGTGCACAATAAAGTTGTCAGTATCCAGTAGTCTGCTTTCCTGTCTCAGCTATTTCATTGCTTATTGTTTATGAAAAACAAAGCAATTAAGATAATTTGTATTATATTTCTTCCATACCTTTTTTTTTCTTCACTGCCGGTTAACAATCTTTCAACATGCCTTATTCCACATAAAATTGCAACTGGAAGCCAGTCGTTTGTTTTTCAGCTTTGAGAACTGCAATATTCAACACTATTACTGCAATAGTTGCAGCAACACTGAGCCAATGCCTGGCTCTTCATTTTATTCACAGAAAGGAAAAAAACAAGCCCAGCACTCTCATGGGAAATTAAGTTTCCTACTATATCTGAAGAGGATATTCTCAATAAGACTATATACACTGACCAGAACATGCTGCTGCATAGGATTTGTAAAAAATAATTAAGGACGTGCAAGTTTGTCTGTAAATTTTATTGGTTGGTTTATTTATTTACACTCTTTTTCTGCTGAGAATGTCCTTCAATACAACGTTTTCAGTCTGTGTTTGAGCTACATTGAATCTAGAAACATAATCCATATCCAAGCCAGAAATCCCTTCTCTAACAAAAGTAAAGTGATAAGAGCACCCTTTCTGTCTGTAAAGAAGTGCGATCACTGCTTTGCAAAAGGACACAGCACAAATGTCTTCCTCTACTGGCTAGGATGGAGTTAACTCCCTTCCTAGCAGCCCATATGGCTTTTGGATCTGTGGCTACAGCAGCACTGGTGTTTTGGCTACCGATGCACAGCGCTTGCTCAACATCAAGGCTGCTCTTTTTCTGACTTTGCTCCCACTGCAGTGAATAGGTTGGTGGTGGGCAAAACACTGAGAGCAGGGCACTGCTGGAACATCTGACCTGAAGTGGCCAAAGGGATATTCCATACTGTGCAACGCCACAGTCAGCAATAAAAAAAAATGAGGTAGAGAAAGAAGAGGTCAGCAGCAGGTGGATAGGCAGGAGGTGTTCTGTTTTCCATGGTGACTACTTTTCAGAGACTGGCCGGGCATCAGTCTGCCTGTGGGAGGTGGTGAGCAATTTCCTTTGCTCATCTCCCTGCTAGCCCCCCACCCCAAATCATAACTACTGCTTTCCCCCTGCCCTCCAACCAAGTTATCAGTAAGTGGTAGTTGCATTTTAGACTAAACATACTCAAATCTCTCTCTCTACAGCAAAAGTAAAATTAGTACCTACTCCAGCAAACTCCCCATCGAGCATTTGAGAGTGAGCATAATGAAGATGATGGAAGAATGCTTCTTACAGGATAATCAATACAGGTGTTGTTGGTGTAACACCAAAGGCACTGTGGGAAAAAAAAAAAAAGAAAAATTATTGATCTTCAGAAAACAGTTTACAATCTAGTGCTCCTCTCCACAGAAAATATTTTTAAGTATGTACAATATCATATAGATGCATTGATAGCACTTAGTAACATGAAACCTACAAAAGTTTGGTACAATTCCAAAGCAAGCCCAATTTGAATTTTGTACCTTTAGGTAATAAATATTAATAAATATATACACTAACCTGAAAATATCTGTGGACAATCCAAGGTACTCAGTGCACAACCCAAATGGCTTTAGGGTTTAGAATTACTGAAGTTAAAAAAAATTACAATACCCCAAACCCAACCATTCAAAATTTTAAAGCCAGCAGTATCTCTGAGGAATACAAAACACACTTAGAATCTTACTTCAGCCCTATATTTGGCTACCAACAGAAAGAAAGCCATAAAGAACTTCTACAATTCTACAGAAAGTTTTGCAGCAAGATAAAAAAATACAACCCATTAAGAAGTTCTAGATAAGAGTAAAAGGAATCCTTGACAGAATGGGGTTTTGTAGGATTCATTACAGACAAAGCTCATGCAGGAACTGTGCTTTATCTAACCAGGCTATCAAGAACATCTCTCACACATCCTCAGTTGCATAAAAACAGTTATCTTGCTCTCAAGAGTTACAAAATGTTAAATACAGAAGAACCCCTTTATAGTGGATTCTGTTCTCTTGAAATGAGTGAGGAAAGGAGCAAAACCACTGTATTCACATGCTGTAGCTGGTAGACTGAGTCACAGACATTGGTAAAATGCATCTAACAATGTTAGCTCAGAACATGCTTATTTTTGTTGGCCTGGCTATTTAATAACAAGAACTAGCAGCTCAAAAATAACAAGACTAATAGACTGGAAGTCACTGTTAAACTTGGTTTGAATGCAGTGGTCACCCTGTGTCCAGTAGGAGGCTGTACCAGATGACCTCACGATATGCACTGTCAGTAACACCCTGCATAAAAGGTTAGTTGTATCCCTGTAATGGAGACTTCTACAGGCAACTCTATTAGAAAGGTCCGTAGCCCTACGGGTAATAGCTGGTGCTGCTACTAACCAGCGCAGAGGTTGAAGTAAGAAACTATTTCAGCTGACTTATTCCTGACACTAAAAATCGATCTAATTATCAAAATTGACTTTATAAAAGCCTAAACACCAAAGGGCAAAACATTTCCTTAACTTTGATTCCTCTCTACACAACCCACAAAGGCAGGCTAAAAATATCTTATATAAAAGCAAATCAAATGAAGCAGAGTATCACACAAAGCGAAAAAAATCTCAAGACATTAAGCAATAGCTATTTGCACATTAAGTAGTATCTCAGGACTCTAAAGCTCTAACCAAAACCTTTATTCCTTACAAAACAGTACCTTAAAGATAAAATCAAATACAACAGCATCTCCATAAAAATACCAAGCACTCAGAACTTCTTGATGAAAAACACGAGAAAGTTGGTATCAATCAACTCTAAGGACCAATTCAATTATAATTAAAAAAAATCTCATCTTTTGAATCACAACTCTATTTAACTGAACTAAATGGTAACATTTTATGGTTTGCTTGGAATTATTTTTATCTATTCACCAAAAGTTTAATTTTCATTTTTATCTGCTGCTACTGTCTACGTTATCATCAGTTGGTAATTTCATCTACTGAGGCAGTTAAGGTAATTTCAGCAATCCTTTGTTTTCATATTGCTTACACAAATGCTAATGGCTTTATTTATAGCCTTTTTTTCTTTAAATGTATGCACGAATTGTCTGAATCAAGTCTAAAGTTACCTCCTCAAGGTTAACACTGATGCTACTGCAGCAGTTGCCCTGAATCATCCGTCATTCAGCCATCAGAACAAGCCTGGACTCTGTCACTGGTTTGACAGATTCTGAGAATCTGTAACTCTGCTAGCGTCTTCAGTGCACACCTGAAGGATTTATTCTGCTCACAAGGTGAGCACACAGTTCTCAGGTTAATAAAAGTGGTGCTCAGAACGCCAGTCACAGCACCTAGAGGCATCAGCTGCAGCACCTATTTGGAGTGACAGGCACACCAGTGGTAGTGATGAACATTTAATCTTTAATAACACATATTTCATGTTTCTTACTTTGTGTTTTTGAGGATTAAGAGTTCTTTACGGTATGCCAGGCTTATGATGACAAATAGACGTCTAGCAGCACATAGTCAATGACTACATCACTACAACGCAATTTGTATTTTTCCTTAAATCCTGCGGTAACTTACACATAACTTCAAGACTCCTGAAGCATTTCATTTTCAGTGACATCTGAAGTTAGAATTTGAAACACTCTCACTATAAACATAGGAGTTTCCTTCTGCACTGCAGTGACAGACACGTTTGGATACTTATCACAACCCTTGTTGTGTAGCTATAAAGGTTTTGAGCAAAGGGCATGGCATAAGATTCCATTGATTTAAATGTCTAGGTTACCACAATCTCTTTGGAAATCTAAACACGTTGCTACAAAAGCAGTCATCTAGCACAACAGTCTGAAGCACTCACAGTCTCACGCAGTCAGAGAGGCCAGTGTCTGAACAGCTACAAAGCACTGACCAGTCTGCCTCAACTGAACACAGTGCTAGTGCTCGGGGCATCTCTAGAAAACTGCATTTCTAGCTTGCTTACTTGAATTTGTCAGCTCTCATATTCTGGATACAAGAAATGCAAGGCATTTCATCCACATAGGATTCAGTTCATCCAGCCCTCATAGAGGATGGAAATTTAACCAATGCTGCTTGAAAAATGAGGGTAAGAATCCAAACCAGTAGCAGCAACTTGCTCTGCTGCTCTGTGCAAGTACCAAGCACTCATGGAAAGGGGAAGCCTGAGTACTGCTTGGTCACTCCTCTCCAGAGAAATACCCTGAGCAACCAAATCACGGGCCACCCTGTAACCCTGGGAGACTGAAAGCACAGTGGCTCCAAGGGGAAGAAGGACATCAAGCAGACAATTTTTACCAACTGAAGGCAGACAAGAGCCAACTGATCCGGATTTCCTGTTATTAAGGGTAGTTCAACTAGCTTCATCATTTTAAGAGAACTAAAAAAAAGAAACAACCAGCCAAATAAAACCCAACAACTCAATATAATATTAAGTGAAAATAAATCACCACATTCTTATCGGTCAAAAAACAAGATATTTAAAATCTTACCGAAACATTTTTTAGACATTCTTCACAGGACCTATGGGACAAATCGGAACAGGCTGGAGAAAGAAAAAAAAGAAAAACAAAACAGAAAGTATATTTATTTTCATTCAGTAATGTCAAACATTTAACAAAATATTTAGGGTTCCTCTCCCCCCACTACTAGGTATGTGCAATAATTTTGATTAAATAATGAAAGCTCAATATTTTCATTCCAGAAGAACGGTAGCAAACAGAGATAGAAAGCAGTTCAGGTTTGACCTCTGAAATAGGAAACAATTTATGCTTTTGAAATTGAAGGTACAGGTAAGCCATCTTACTCAGAGATGATTGTTACTTTAAGGACAACATGGGAGACACAACCCAAGAGCCTCCCAATATCTCTGCTAAAGTTCTCAGACTTACAGTTCAACATCACCAGTGATTTAGGTTACATTTTCAGTAACTGAACCACCAAATGAAGTAATGTAACATCCCTTAGGTCCTTATCAAAAAGCTTTTCACCTTGTTTATCTTCAACTGCCTTCTTATGGACATATATCACAGTCTATAAGAGCATATAACCAGAAGTCTGGGGCTCAAATTATAAAGAATAAAATCAGACTTTGATTTACATACTCCGTTACAAAATGTTATATTACCATGAGTAAGCAGGAAAAAAAGTGTATAATTGTGCTTTATGTATTTCTCCAGGTCCCTTAGCTTACAAGGCACACAAGTCAGTTCAAGAGCAGAACATCGGGAAAAAAAAAAAAAAACACCTCTCAAACTGATAACACACTCAGGCCCTCCAATGCACCTTGAAAAAGCAATATGGGTACCAGCATATTAAACAAAAGCAACCTGGAAGCATTTGGACTCAAACATAGAAAGCTGACAGACTCCCTCATATTTCAAGGGACTACTGTGATCTCTTTATCAGGGAAAAAAAAAAGCATAAGCCACAGCACAACTACCACCAATTACTCACATTGTATTTTAGCCAACATTTGTTGAACAACCATTCCTTCTATTTTAGCATAACGTCAACATTAAGTATCTAAGATGAATTTTCCCTTTAATTTTTACATACCCACCTTGGTTTACCAAGAAGTGTCATAATTATGTCAATAAGCTACATCAGTTTCGCTAAAGCAGCTCCATTAATGTAATACACCTTGCAGAGTCAGCCACAGCTGCATGAGGATTATATTCTCACAAGGAGAAAGGAAAAAGCTAGTACCATTCCTACATCTTTAGGAAATTACCAGAATCCTGTCCACATGTACAGGAATTGTAGTATGTTAATTATAACTAATTATGTTTTCAGTAACTGGAGCACCCATTGTAAAATGATGACCTGTGTGAGCTCACCTTCTAGGAGGTGTCCTCAAGGACCAGCGTAACACAGCTCCAGCACAATGCTGGTCTTTCACAAAATACAGGTAAAACCTAACAGCACAGACAATAAAGCCTGTTTATAAAACAGCCCCTTTCCAATAGACATGGAGGTAGCACATACAGATTTTTTTTTTTATTGTGTTTTTTATTTATTTAAGGAAGACAGGGCTTTAAACCATCCACTGTACAGTAAGGACTGCCACATTACCTTAGGATCGGTGACCCTTGGGGGAGGGAGCTCCCTACTACGCCTCTAGAACCAGCACAACCACTCAGTCAGAAACTCTTCCACACCTACACCAAGGCTGTTCTTAGGCAGTTTGTGTTAATTTGCTCCCTACCCACAGTCTCAGCTTAAACCCTTCTTATCTCCCATGGGCAAACTTCCAGGAAGTTTGAAAAAAGAAGTTTTTCACTTAATCTCATTGCTCATTTTATCTCTTAAAAGTCCCTTAAATCCTTCTGTACAATATGGATTCATAATTCCATATAATACAATCCTTTTCCATACCAGCAACAAACTTTGTGTCGTGAGCAACCTCCCAACCTCACACAGAAATAAAAACACACGAGAAGTTCAATCCTAGGGCACCCCTAAGCAGACTGACTGCCAAGGCAACCCGATTTTTGGCTCAAACCAAACTCCTCAGCTTGGCTGATGTTCCACACAGCTATTAGAAAGAAACTGATTAGCTTACAGTTGCCAGCAGATCCCTTCCTCTCCAATAGCTGAGAGAGGCTGACTGCTCCCTTTCTCTTCTGCCTCAAGTCAGCTGTCCCAAAACCTGGAGATTTCTTATCACGCGTAAGCCCTACCCTCAAAGAACGGAGCCCCCGCAAGCTGGGCTCTGAGTACAGGTCAAGGTCCATCTGCAATACCCTAATTTAATGCAAGTACCGTACCTTTCTGGTCACATCTATTAAAGGCAAACAAACTGAAGATCCCCCCACACGCACCCCGAGCAGCAGGGCAGCGCCGAGCACCCCCCGACCCCCTCGGGGCGGGCTGCCCGACCCGAGGCGGCGGAGGGCAGCAGCCTGGGGGGCTCCTGCTTGGGCTGGGAGCCCCCGGATGGAGAAAAGAGGAAAAACCCCGAGCCCCGCGGCTCCCCCATGCCTTGCGGCCGTCCTTACCCTGCACCGGCGGGGTGACGGTGGTGAAGGACGGCGGCCGCCATCCCGACGCAGCCCCACACCAGCGCCAAGGCCGGCAGCCAGCAGCGCCCCGCCGCCATGGCGCGGCCCCGCGCCCACCGGGAGCCGCCGGCGATGGCGGGGAAGGGGCGGCCCTGAGGGCGGCGCTGAGGCGGCCGGGCCGAGCCGGAGAAGGAAGGGGAGAGGCCGGAGGAAGGGTGTCGCCTTCCGTGAGGCGTGGTGCCTTCCTCACGGGGGGCTCCTTGTCTTCCTCCCGGCAGCTCCCCGATCGTGCTGCCAGCGATGAGTCGCGCACCTGACGCCTCTGTGGGCTGCGGCTTGAAAGGCTCACAGCATTCGTTGACGCGTATTTCTGATACGCCAGGCTTTGGGTTTAATTAATTAATTAAGTTGTTTTTTCCGGAAGGACCCGTTGTTCCTGCCTCCTGCTGTCACGTTGCTGCGAGGAGCCAACGAGAACAGGCGTTGCCCCGAGTCAGGGTTGGCCGGAGAAGGGAATAAAGATGTTGAGGGAAATATGAAAATTTGCTGTGGCCTTCTCAGTTTTAAGCTATTAACGAGTTGATAGTTTTCACTGGTGACTCCTGCGGTGTTACAGATGCTTATAGTGCTCAGTAAAGTGTCTTAGGGGTACAGAAAATACCCAGATGGGGCTGTGAGATAGGAGATGGGGATGAAGGAGATGGAGCCCAAACTCTCTGAGGTAGCTGGGTACTAAGGGTGCACCTGAGATTTAAGGCACCCGAATGGCAGTAAGACACTGGTAAGGTGCTTATCAGGGTCCTTAATGGCCTAGAGTAAGAAGAACGTTCTTCACAGTGTTTTGTGTATCTAACTTTAGACGTCTGGTTCACATTACTGCAGAGATTATTGTCCCTAAAATCCCCCACAGGAAGAGATGAGGAGCTCCAGAAACCCATTCAGGTTCAGGGAAATAGGGTAACTGCTAGTACCTCAGGTGAGTTAGGGAACAAACCCGAGTCTTGTTCCTTGGTTCTAACCTGGGCTGTTGGCCTTCGAAGCTGACGAGGTGGTATATTGCACCAGGATGGCTTTATGAGAGATCTGTCAGTTTCAGATTGGAAGATGTCCTTACCTTGAGTGAAATTCCAACCAATGCATTAAAAAAATATTTACATTTCATCTAGCCTATGTCATCTTTGGATTTTTGCCAGCAGCATTAGTGTTTCTGCTTCTCTGTCTGTAAGGAGTGTTCAAAAGCCAAAGTGGGCTGAGGCACTATATGCAAATCAAGATGCTTTTACCTGAGCTTAATGTATGACAATACTGATTCATGAGTTCTTCAGCCTTCTTGAGCTGGCTGAAGACAAAGTCTTGCCATGTTTTAAGGTCCACAAATCTTTATGCTCTGAAATGCTTTTTTTTTTTTCCTTCATGTTTCCTGTACTCTTAAATCACTTGGAGCATGATGTTGGAATAGTAGAGGCACTCGGATGAGTGACAAGCATTACCAAAGGCATGAACCTGCTCACATATATAGGAATAATTCGATAGACTACAGCTAAGAAGGCGTATGACAGAGGTGTGGAAAGTCATGACTATCTTTTCTAATGCAAGACATAAAGGGCAGTGAACACAACTATCAAGTAGAAAATGGAAAACAGAAGTACTCAGAAGGAAATAAGATGCTTCAAGTATAGCTAGGCTGTGAAACAGTCTTTGGATGTTAAGGACGCTAAAATTTAGATTAGTCCAAAAATGTTGGATTTTTTTTTTTTTCTCCCCATGAATATGTCTGTTTGAAAGTATTAAACACCAAGATATCACCTCTGGTTCAGAAAGTAACTGAACCACACTGCCAGAAGCTGCATGTGATTTCCAAGGCAGATGCATCATATGCTTGCCTTATTCTGACGTTATTCCTTAGGCATTTGTTGTTGACTGCCTTTTCAGGCTAGATACTGAGCTAAAGTGCCCTTTAAATGACTTTATATAGCTGTTCTCATTATTTTTCTTTTTTCTCAAAAACCTTTTTTATAATCCATATGTTTTTGATTAAATGTACTGAATTACGTTTGAGGCAGCATGGAAGTTCTCTAGCCATTTTTTCGTATCTTAGTTTCAGATAGTTTTAAGTATGCAGTGAAGAATGACTTCTCATAAAACAGCTCAAATACCAAGCCAAAGCTTGTAATTTTTCCTTGAATTGCTTCTAGCATGGTAATTGTAAAGTGTCTTTCAGCTGGAGCAAAGAGCTATGGGAGAAGGGGAAATAAAAGAATTTGCTGAGGGCTCTTTAGAAGAATGGCTATATCCATCTTCTCTGATCTAGCTTTGCTATTCCTTTGGGGGACAAAAACTTTAACATATTTTATGAACAGCTCTGGTAATTCTCTCACAATAGATACACCTACAATAATGAACCAGATTTTTTCGTTATTAGGTACCCACTTGCTTGGCAGATGTAAATTCCCAGGAAATGGAGCGTAGAAGACAGGAAAATGTGATATACCAGGAGCCTGGGTTTGGAATAAGCAGTATGTATTAAGACTACAAACAAACAGTTTCAAAATGTAAACAAAATTCGGTGTTTCTTTTTTCTTCCTATCATAATGCCATTTCAAATGATAACTAGAACTTTTCTGCCAGCTCCATAAACTCTGCATGGGATTTTGAACAGCGTTTGTCCATGTGCATTTTCAGCAGCAGCTCAGGCCAAGGCACTTTTTCCTCACCTCTGTTCCAGTTCCTCCCATGTGAGAGATCAGCTGAAGGAGCCATTCACTCGGTAGCTGAACAAAGGACTGACTTGGCTGTTTTTCAGCTGGTTTGCTTTTTCATCATTACCACTGGTAACAACCTCATAGGTGAAATACATGTAGCAGTTATAAAGCCTGTGTGTTTGGTTGATACCCTTAATGACAGTATTGCTTCATCACCGAGTTTATCCAGCTTGTCTGATTACAATGTGCATAAATAATTCAGCTGATAGATCATGTAAGTGATTAGAATGCCTCTCTTTTTTTTTTTCTTTTTTTTTTTCTTTCTGTTTTCTTTGCTATATTGGGCTTATGGGTATATGCTTTGGTAAAAGGTACCAGTAACACACCATTTAATAGCATTGTATTAGTTTGTGCTGACTGGAGCAAAAACGTTTCTAGGTTCCAGTTTGACATACACTTAGATCAGTGTTGTTCCCTCAAAAAGTACTCTGTGCTCCCTCTCTCTGCATGCTTGTTTTTGCATATGAACAAATACATTTCTGCTGTCCCATAGTGAGCTGATGCTATTGAAAATCTGTTTTTCAGCTATATTAGTGGTACCCTATCTGGGTCACTGAGCAGGTGACCAAATGCTTGTGTTGGCACATCAGAGGAGGAATTGAGGGGATATAACTAATACCCTGGGGAGGAAGAAGGACCTCTTTTGTTTTAAGTTGCAGGAGCAGCTTAATTGCATGTTGGCGTCATATTAAGGGTTCATTGAAGTCATGCAAGAAGGTACATGTGAAGCCTAGAATTTTGTTAAAGTGGGGTACTAACTATGATTAAATACCTACAGGGAGCAGACCTGCTGCATGTATGCCTTTATATAGTCATCCTTCAGAGGGTATTCAGATTCTAATAAAATTAGCTTTTACAACTCTCTTCTTCAAATATGAAGTATTAATAATACCATTTTATAGAGGCTCCCGCCACAAGTTGAGGCTATTTCTTAAGGTCAAATAAAAGAACATTAGATCTTCCAGATGAAAATCTTTCTTCTGCCTTAACCAAATAACCACCATTTTATAAACAATCTTAATTGAGACAGAACTCATAGAGATCCTAATGATTAGAAGTAACATCATAAACAGATGAGCTCCAATCCTGAAAATGAACATTTGAGATGTTTTCAGGGATTAGAACAATGCAGTATAGAGAGGAATTGGTGTGTGTGTGTGTGTATTTTAGGTTTTGCAATTTTGTTGTAAATATGATGGTCCAAATTCATCTTTCAGGCAAACCCTGTGATTGAAACAGAGATTAAATCAACTGTTAACAGTCTAAATAAATTCAGACACGATCAGCTGCACACTACTGTGACAATTAAAATAAGTCAGCCTTCTCAGTTGATGGGGGGCCCTTCTCATGCAAGTTAGATTAGCACTTACAGTGCAAAGACAGAGCCTAGGGGTATGTGTAGGATCAGTTCAACATCTTTGCTGAGGGAGGTGGTAAGAAGCGTCTGATTTTTCTTTGTGTGTCATTGTCATACTTATGTGATCACACACTTAATATCTAGGGAGTAAATCATACTTTTTAAAGAGTATCTACATAATTACTCCAGTATCTTGTGGCTCTAACTGAGAGATAGAAATGTTAGTCTCATCAAAAAAGGCATATCGTGATTTTTTCCCCCTCTGATTCCCACAGCTCATATTACATATAAGGCTTTTCTGGCAGGGGAATATTTGTGAATATCACTGCTAAGCTTGGCAGAATGGTTAATGGTACTGAATTGCAATATAATTGAATTATAGTCTACTGTTAGATTTATGGTAATACCTCTACCCAAAATGACAAGCCAAGTGTTTCAAAGATTGTATTTCAGTAAAATCTGGCAACGCATAGACAGCTGTTAACATTTAGTCCTCTCAGATATTTCAAACAAGGGAGAGCATTGAACTTTCTGTTATAACTTTTACTGAACAGAACAGTTCTAGCAGGGCAGACGAGTTTATTTCGAAAAACATGGACAAGAAGCTAATTGGTAAGTGCAACTTTTCTGGATAGAAAAAATGATTTTTTTTTTGACTGAGCAGTGTTGCACCAAACAATGGACGGTATTTTAAAAAAAAAAAAAAAAAGTTTGGGACCTTGGCACAGGGTATTATTCAGATCTCCCAAAAATGTTGTTGCAGTCTTGGTAGAAAAAGGAGCCTTCATTGTAGGAGTCCTTCCTTGCACAAGTGTTTTCAGCTGGATCAGGTAAGATCAGCTGGATCAGACTCCCCTAACTGCTTCTCTGCTCAGTTCTCACAACCCTGGTTGTGCTGGGTGATCCTGTGTGACTATTTCAGTAGTGCATTGTTGAGAGGAATGGGTTAAAAACAGGAGGTTGGTGAGGAGGATGGCATCAGAACAGAAGGCTGGTGAGGAGGACTGTAAATACGCTCAGGTGATCTTGCAGCTGGGAGTGCATAAAGTCTGGGGAGCAGCAATGTAGAAAAACATATAAATTATGCCTGCTGCTGTTTGTGCTCTGGGTTTGGTGAGTGGCACATCTGTGCAGAGATAACATGGGTGTTTGGTGAACTCAGAGGCACACTATGAGAAGCGCTTGAGCTCCTGGCCTTGGTACAGAGGAGATCAAAGAAAGGTACAGCACCCCTGTCAATGAAAACTGTGCTGAGCAGCATTCAGTCAGCTG